AGCAACCCTCCATGCTTCAAGGTGGAGAATTAAGGCCTTACCAGGTTGAGGGCCTACAATGGATGGTTTCCTTGTTTAATAACAATTTAAATGGTATTTTGGCTGACGAGATGGGTTTGGGTAAAACCATACAAACTATATCGTTGATTGCATATCTCATTGAAAACAAGGGTGTTACTGGACCCCACTTGATAGTGGCACCGAAGGCCGTACTACCAAATTGGGTTAATGAATTTGCAACATGGGCTCCTAGGTATGTTTACAGGGTCTTTAAACAGTGATCTCTCTGTCTCTGTCTGTGTCTCTGTGTGTGTATATATAAAGATATGATATATACCTACCTACATTTATGATAACATGAAAGAAGAATTATGACGGATCATTTATGTATTTTCTTCTTGACCAGTATTGCTGCCGTTCTTTATGACGGACGTCAAGATGAAAGGAAGGCAATGAAAGAAGAATTATCAGGGGAAGGAAAATTTAATGTGTTGATCACACATTATGACCTTATTATGAGGGATAAACAATTTTTGAAAAAAATCAACTGGTACTACCTGATCGTTGATGAAGGGCATAGATTGAAGAATCACGAGTGTGCTCTTGCACAAACACTTGCAGGGTACGTGCTACATGCCAATAGAGGCCTATTTTCTTTTGATGCTTTATATAAGTCTATGTTTCTTCTTTCAATTTTTAGTTTTTTACCAATTCAGTAGGGCTATATATTAACCTTGTTATTAACACTTGCTTCGATGCTTCATTTTATGCTTTTGCTTTCCAAGTGGTGGTCATCTTGTCCACTCCTTGAGTAGTTTAATAGTTTATGGCAATAAAAAAAATTTCATTGAAAAAAAAGGATTTATTTATTTTCTGTTTTTGGATGGGCAGAAAGCTGCTGTTTAGCTATTTATATCCTAATCTGATAATTCACAAAAGCTGTTTATTTCCTACCTCTGGGTGAACAAACTTTAAAGATGAAAAGAAAAACTTTGTCCCGTTTTTTCTTCTTTCCGAATATTTTTAACTTGGGCGTTTTCTGAGAGCTCGTACTTTTGCCCATACCTAAAAAAATCTTCTTAACTTTGTGGGAATGCTGCTTTGTAATAATACATTTGTGGTTAAGGTTAAAGGTTGGTTGTAAAATTGGACTGAGATCATCAATGTACTTCCAAAGAAACAAAGAAAGAAACAAGTTTTTCTTGCAACAACAACAACAACAAAGCCTTTTCCCACTAAGTGGGGTCAGCAAACAAGTTTTTCTTGCTGATCACGTAAAAATCTAAAATGTATCTGACTGCAGCCAGAGCATTCCTAAACTTATCTAAATTGGTGGTTGCTCTCTGTTGTGTCATCATATGATTTTAATGAACAAATCTAATAATACCAATGTGATTTTTCTCTGAGGGTGTGGCCTAGTTTTTTGTCCCCACTTCGTAGGCTCCCTATACTCATGAAATGTGAACTGAGACTGTTTACTTTGCAAAGGGCTTTCTCTGTTCAGGTAAAAGAAAGTCTCGGTCTTATATTTGAAGTTTGAACAAAGTCTTGGTATACTGATTTGATGCAAGTTTGAACTAAGTCTTGGTCCTATAGGTTCAATAGTGTTTTGAGTTTTTATGAAGATTAAATGCAAGTTATTGCCTCCATTAGCAAATACATAAATGACTTCTGTTCCATAAATTTAACGATCGATTATCCTTTGGGTTCTTGAAAGGTATTTTGGTTACTGTCTGCTGGTTTCTTTTTTTCGTACTTTTTGTTTTTTATAATATGACGGGTTCTTTAATTGAAATTTTTACCTTTACACAGTTACGATATGCAACGTAGACTTCTGTTGACTGGTACCCCAATACAGAATAGCTTACAGGAGTTGTGGTCCCTGCTTAATTTCCTTCTCCCACACATTTTTAATTCAGTTCAGAATTTTGAGGACTGGTTTAATGCACCTTTCGCGGATCGGGGCAGTATTTCTCTTACCGATGAAGAACAGCTATTGATCATTCGCCGTCTACATCATGTGGGTCTTTGCTCCCAGTTTCTGTTTATTTTTGTTTTGTGGACTTTTTTTTTTCTAAAAAAAATTGAAACATTTCTTTATGTTGTAGGTTATACGGCCCTTCATACTGAGGAGGAAAAAAGATGAGGTGGAGAAGTTCCTTCCTGGAAAATCTCAAGTCATACTGAAATGTGACATGTCAGCATGGCAGAAAGTATACTATCAACAAGTTACGGATGTGGGCAGAGTTGGGCTCGATAATGGTTTGTAGCTTTGTTGGAAATCCTCTACATTAATGTTAATGCGTTTCACCATTCTTCTTACCTGAATCTAAGTTGAAACATCGTGACAGTTAACGTCCTTGAAAAGCAGTCTAAAATTGCAATGATTATTTATTTTGTCATAATTTACTGATGAGAACTTGTTTTTAGGTTCTGGAAAATCAAAGAGCTTGCAGAACCTGACAATGCAACTCAGGAAGTGTTGTAACCACCCATACCTTTTTGTGGGAGATTATAACATGTGGCGCAAGGAGGAGATCATCAGGGCATCGGGAAAGTTTGAATTACTTGATCGTCTACTCCCAAAACTCTACAAAGCGGGGCACAGAATCCTGCTTTTCTCACAAATGACTCGTCTCATGGATATTCTTGAAATTTATATGCAACTTCACGACTTTAAGTATCTTCGACTGGATGGTTCAACAAAAACTGAGGAAAGAGGGACTCTGCTTAAGAAATTTAACGCTCCAGACTCTCCTTATTTCATGTTTCTCTTGAGCACTCGTGCTGGAGGCCTTGGTTTGAACTTACAAACGGCAGATACGGTAATAATTTTTGACAGTGATTGGAATCCCCAGATGGACCAACAGGCAGAGGATAGGGCCCATCGTATAGGTCAAAAGAAAGAAGTTAGGGTATTTGTGTTGGTTAGTGTTGGATCGATTGAAGAAGTAATTTTAGAGCGTGCTAAACAGAAGATGGGCATAGATGCCAAGGTCATCCAGGCTGGACTGTTTAATACAACTTCCACAGGTTGGTTGTACTTCAATTTCATGCAATTTTCTCTGTTATGATGTCAACCTTCTAGCAAGAAAGAACTAGGTTTTATTGACTGCTTCATTACGTTGCCTGCACATGCTTTCTACACATGCATCACGTTCATACAAATGTAGTTTCATAATACACATGCATGTTGTTCCAAAGTCAGAACCACTGCACTGAGTCGCAACTATTATCGATCTTGAGCTTGCTGTTGAACCCCGCATAAACTACAAGGTCAAAACTGTTTTTCTTTTTCCACTCACAGTAATGCAACACATCTGCATCAGAGATTGAATGGAAGGGATGTCTTGCACCTTGCACGGTTAAGATAAACACATTCTCTTTATTTTGTGCTCCACTATGGCTGTATTCTGACAAAAGACATACCTTGTGTTTGCAGCGCAGGACAGAAGAGAGATGTTGGAAGAAATCATGCGCAAGGGTACAAGATCGCTTGGGGCAGATGTGCCAAGTGAGCGAGAAATCAACCGCCTTGCTGCCAGATCAGAAGAGGAGTTCTGGCTGTTTGAGAAAATGGACGAGGATAGAAGGCGAAAAGAGAACTACAGATCTCGCCTTATGGAAGACCATGAGGTTCCTGAGTGGGCATATTCAACACCTGATAAGCAAATTGCTACGAAAGGCTTTGACAGTGGCAATATCACAGGAAAGCGCAGGAGAAAGGCGGTACAGTCTTATTCTGATGGCCTTAGTGATTTACAGTGGATGAAAGCTGTGGAAAATGGAGCAGACATATCGAAGCTTTCAGGCAGAGTAAAAAAGAGAAATCACACGCAATCAGATGGCGTTGTATTAGTTAGTGGTAATGCAGGAACAGAGGAAAAAGTTACAAAATTGATTCCAAATGTTCCATTGGTGAGAGAGGGAGATAGTGAAGATACCTACGTGTTGACACCAGCCTCGAAGAGACACAAGTCTGAAGGGCCTAAAATAGAGAAACAGGAAAGTCACGCAGCTGGAGGAAGTAGTTTGAATGGTCCTATCTTGACGTTCAAGATACATCGGAAGAAGAGATCAAGCTATGTTAACCCAAGTTCATCCTCTGATGGCAGAGGGCAAAATGCCAATGTCAGAGGAAATGGATGGGCTTAATCGAATTGGCTCAGCTACTTACCTGAGCATGATTGTAGTTGCTGTCTTGTACATGGTCTTGCGCATTGACCAGCTCGCAGCTGCTCGGTTTACGCAAATGCTTCACGACTTTGTAGACTGATCTGGTCATGGGTGACACTGACTTAACCACCATACATTCTGGTTCTTGTAAGAAGTCTAGCACTTGGAGCAGCAGCGTGAACTTTATGAGCTCGGAATTATCGATAGCACATTCCGATCTCTTTGTCAGGCTCAGTAGGATAATGTATCAAAGAAGAATTATGGTAGGAAAATGTATAAATTGATAATCTTTTGGTTTACAATTAATTAGAGATTGCATCCGTAAAGTTTAAAGTTTACGTGACTGCTTTTGAAAGCGTTAAAAGCGATTTTTGAGAATAGAAAACGCTTATGATGGCTTTTGGCTGATGAAGTTAAAAATGCTTATAGGGTACGAGTACCATACACTTACCACGTATCTGTACCATCTCTCTAGTAGAAATGATGGTACAAAAAGTAACATTTTTTTATAGGTCATAGGAACCTTCTTTGAAAATCAAACGCTTCTTCAAGGGCTTCCTATAACAGTAGTGCAAAACGAGCGAACAATCCTACTAGCAATAAATGGCATGCGTTTAGAGCAACAACCCGCAGACACAATGTGGGAAAGAACAACTGTAAGAGTAAAGCATCAAGGCTGTGTTCCACTTCCATGAGTAAAGCCTCTTAGAGAAAAGAACAAAGCCTTTTCACTCATGGAACAAAACCAAATCAGAATCATCAAATCACGTCATTTAACAGTAGTAATATCACATATTTCGTTCTAACGTCCCCCTAGGTAGACATCCGATAAAATTGGAACGTTATATTCTGTTCTAACACCAGCAGCAATGCTTTGCTGCATCTCATAAAATAATATCCAGAATAACCCTCATACATAGCAACATCAGAAATCAACTAGAGCCACATCTATCACAAAAAACAGGAACTAACAATGATTAACTGACTACATGCAGATAAAAGAAGCAATTTAAACGCAATTCTACGAACACCCGTCATCACACAGCTCTAAGAAACAGCTGGTGCCAACTGATGCATAATAAGATTCAATAGTCTTCCTAAAAGCTGCAAATACCCTCATCAGTAATTGATGTTAAAGAGGGTATTAACTCTGCGGAACCTAATCAGGAAAGAGAAAAACACCTAGACATACGAGAGGACCTCTATTCCTCTTGGCCAACTTCAAGGTTTTTCAGTTTTTATTCCAATTCATCCTCATTGCCTTCGCCCTCTCCAGATTCTTTGTCGTCATCTTCATCTTCATCATCGTCATCTTCTCCTTCAGGGTCATTCTCGTCCAAAGATCCAAGCACGTCGGGAGATTTCTTGAAAGCATCCTTCAGCTCATCAATGCCCTCATCAGAAATGAAATTTGCATTGATGTTGAGCAACTTAAAACCGGGCTTCTGAACCACAGCCTGCGCCAAAGCACGAGCCCCTGCTCTTCTGATTTGGTTGGTGTTGAAATCAACTTCCTGCAACTCCGCATGGCCCTCCAACACCTTGCTGATCTGAATAGTGCCTTCATCCTTAAGGATGTTCTCACCTAAATTCAGCTTGGCCAGATGTGGTTTGGCTGCTATACAAGCTGCTATAGCAGGAGCAGCTTTAGCTGTTATGTCGTTTCCAGCAATGTCAAGGACTTCAAGTGCAGGAGCTGATTCCTTGAGAACATTGGCAATTGCAACTGCACCCTCATCTTCTAGGTTCAAGTAACTAAGGTAAATCTCTGTCAAATTGTCATGCTTGGAAAGAGCTTTACTCAATGCAACTCCACCTTCTACACCAAACATATTGTCCCGCAAGTCCAGCTTTTCCAAATGGGTACAAGTCCCAAGAGCTTCAGATAAGGCAACTCCTCCCTCAGAGCCAACCCTTGTGGAGGAGCAACGGAAATTGTTCAATAGGGGAGAACGCTTGACAACCTCAGCAATAGCAATTGCCCCTTCATCTCCTGTCATATTATTATGAAAATGGAGGACTCGAAGCTTCTCTGTGGAAGGAATCAACTCACAAACTGCTCGAGCAGCTTCTTCTGAAATGCCATCATTCATCAAATAGAGTTCCTCCAAGTAACTTTGTGATTTCAGGAGTGCCCCAAAAGCCCGAACACCTTTCTCACCCAAGGCATTGTTGGAGAGATTCAAATACTTCAAAACACTACCTTCTAAGGCAGCGGCAAATATATTCATGACTTCAAGAGCTTCTGCCTCCGGTCTTCCTGCTATAAAATCTGAAAGGTCAACTTCTTTCAACTGGTTCTTAAGAGAAACCAATATGGGCTCAGCAGCACGGGCTGCTCCGAGACCAAAGCTTCTATTGCTGAAGCATATTTTGGTGTAAGTGTTCCCTGGCTCCTTCAGTGACTTCAAAAGCTCCTCAGCTTCCTCAGCCTCTATAAAAGCCCGTTGGGCCTTCGATATATCAAACAAGGTCTCAGTGGGAGTGGTACCAGATGTCACTTTTCCATCCTCCTTGCTTCTAGGTCCTTTTTTGAGAACTTCAAGCAGGAGCTTACTGCATTCCCGGGCATAAAGCTGCACTGCAGAACTTCCATCCCCATCAGGTTCATTTTCATAGTTTTGATCTGCAGTAGCAAAAGCAACATCCTCAATTCGTTTTGCATTTTCCTCAGCCTCTTCCTTACTCAGACAGCCATACTTCTCAGTGAAAAGGGATTTAGAGCTAAGATTGTTTATCATCCGCTCCACAAGCACTTTCCTTGTATTTTGACTAGGAGGCCATAGTTTAATTGAAAATGGACGGCGTTCTGAATTCAGAGTTGTGGCATCCATTGCAACAAAACCTACAATTGCAGGCTGCGGTTATGTAAATGACACTCATAAACACTAAAATGAAAAGATAAGCAACCTACTTATGACATATAAAGTTCCAAGATATTAAATGATAACCATCAAGAATTTTTCAAATGAATGTTTCAGGATATGAGAGATAAAACTCCTATAATATCAGAAACAACATCCTTTACACAACATAATTCTTGACAACAGAAAAAAAAAAATTAAGTTAATAAATGCAGATGATAATTATTGACCTAAAAACTGCAAAAGAAACTCGGAATTTAGAAAATAACAATGATGCAATGGAACTTCTCTTCCTCTTCACGGGAGGAGAAAATTTGTAATGCAAACAAAACTAAAGCACACAATTAAAACATTCTTTACTATTATCATGCAACTCACTTCATTTTTAACTTTTAACCAATTTTATCCCATATATATAGATTCCCCATATGTTATGTTGCCCTGTAATAAGCATTACCAATCAAGTTTCTTCACTTTCCCACCTCCCTTTTCCCCCTTTCTAGCAATCAGAGGGTATAGAGGACATTTCACTCAGACCAAAACAAGAGGAAATTTCACAGTTCCATTTGGTAAAAGGTACTGTTAACAAATGCAAATGATAGATTGAAGCAGTGACTTTTCTGCTTCTTAGAATCTAAAACATTGAAAACATTATCATACAATTAAAGAATCACCATACGGAAAATTTCCCTTCCATTATTTCGGATAACTTTTCACCCTATAACACTCAAGTCCAATCTCCATCTAGAAGGGTCATAAAAAATTGAAACCGGTTAATACGGCACACTCACAACAGATGTACTCCCTCTCATAAAAACCAAAGAGAGAACCTCACTGGGCTGCTCAATTATCCAATTATCATACTAGATCCAAAAGTTTACAGCCCTGCAGTCCCCGGCCACGGGATTGATTCGACTGCAGACCATGTCATTCATTCTCTCTTTTCTCATCTCCAACGCACACTCGTATATATTAAGACAAAAAAAAAAGAAAAAAAAAATCATATCTATAATTTTGGCTAAAGCTGATGGATCCAACAATCTCGTTGAACCAACCCCATTCTCCAAAACTAAACATAAAACTGTCAAATAACCAATGTCATGAACTTATTCATTGGATAAATGTCAAGGTACCAAAGAAGTAGCAATAAAAACCCACAAAGATTCAAACTTCCGCAGTAAATATAATCTGCAACTAAAATAAAATTAATCAACTCGAAATCAAATATAAACCCAAATGAATCTGAACCCTCCAAGCAAAACAACAAACAACCCAGAACAGATAATCAGTCAAAGAAAACGAAATGGGGTTTAGTGGCTTCAAAAATTTCAAATTAAAGCCAGATTATCAAGCACAAAACGTTGCCCTAAAACCGGAAAAGTAGGTAAAACCGAAGCAAAAGTTGAAGAGAAAGAGATGGGTACCTTGCTTTTTCTCTCCCGCTTTCTGGGTACTTTGGGATTTTCTGAGATTCAAACGGAGCTCTGAAATGGAAGAAAGCAAGAGAGGGAAAAGAGAGTGGAGGGAAAAACTGAAAATTAAGGGCCAAATATGTAGGGGAACAGTGTGTCAATTATCATGTGCGTTTCCGGCCGCCACTTTTGATGTTTGGAAAGCAAGATAGCAAAGTGACATATGCGGATAGGGTTTGGTTCCCAAACTGAATCAGACTAGTACCCTTTGGCAATTTCCTTTTTCTTTTGTAAGTCGCAAAAATGAGAGTTTGTTGCAACGTTCTTCCCCCTTTCTTCATGCTTTTAAAGAAAAAATGTAAATACGTTTGGAAATACATGTATAAAATATTTACTATAAATATTTTAAAATTTGAAATACTATTGAATTGGCGGTCAATGAGTACAGGTCATTTGAATTTTAAAAAAGCGAGCGCTTATCTTTTCAACAGTAATGTCTTCTATACCAGTGCAGGAGAAAGTTAGACGGTTAGATTTTCATTTCAACGGTAACATTGAAAGAGTTTTTTCTATATATACGTAACAACTGCCAAAGAATGGTCAGCGAGGTATTTACAATGGCAAACTAAATTTTACAAGGAAACACATGAAAAATTAGATAAATCAATCACTGGAAACAAAATTGAATTTTTTTAAAAGAAAACGCATAACAGCAGCAGCTCCAAACCCAACCCAACCCAACCCATTCTTACCCGTTCCACCTATATTAGTGGCCTCCCATGACCATGCTCACCCACCCTTCCCTCTCTATCTCTAGGTTGCAACCATATTGAGTTAGCGTGACAAGCCTGTAGAGTGTGAGTTAAAATAAGATATCGTGTGCTTTGGGGCAAGCACACAATATTGACGTAAGATGTTGATTTTTGTGTGGTACAAGAAAAGCTCGCTATATACGAGTGTTGGGAGTCGCAGGTAATAAAAGTAGTAGCTTTTCCAACTACATCTCATAAAAAGCTTTGTTTATAAAGCAATAAATGAATCTATACAAATACGTATTACACGACTCCAAGTGGGTTAGTTTTCTCCAGGAAGGGGCTTAGAAACAAGGACCACGCATTGATAACGATGAGTTGAAAACAGTTAAAATGTTAAACTCGTGGAACTATCCGTTAGGTGCATTTGTTGCCAACTTTTCTAAAGTTCTTGAGAAACAAAAGGAACAAGGGGAGCAATTGAAAGAGATTTATAGATTACAACATAAGCCACTCAACTGCCTTAAGACACAAAGTACCCTTCTTTTAGTTTCACTGAGCTTTGGAAGCACCAAAAGGAGTAGGGTTCTCCTATTTGAACGGTTACAGTTAAGGCCTGCAATGATGCAAAGAAGCATTCAAGAGGTGGTCGATAACAAGGTTTCGAAAGAGGTTACGATCTTTGGTAGGTTTTGGTAGATGGACTAGTCCCTGGAAATGCTGCTTTTACTCACTATGTTTGGATGAAGAAATTTAAGATTACTAAAGAATTTTAAAATGACGGAAATTGAAATGACAAGATTTTATTTTCAAGAATTTGTAAATTTTCTTATTTGGTTAATCTAAAAGAACAATGAAATTGAATACTGAATTTGTTATTTTTAAACTCTAAATCATAGAAATTGGGAAATGACACATATTTACATGGAATTTGAACTTGAAATTGGAGGTCCTAAATTCCAAGTCTTTTTTCCATACGGAAATTCTAAATTTCTATGTTTATGAATCCAAACAAGGGAATTGGTGCATGTTAATTTATAAATTCTGACTTTTACCAAAATTCCAAGTTTATTTCCCTCATCCAAACATAGTGTAAATTCATGATATCTGGGTTTTGTAACTTGTGTCCCAACTCCTGCACATCACAATTGCAAAGAACCGTGTCCTAGATAATTATACGTGTCAGGAGGTAATCAATTAGGTGTGCAAGAAACGAAAGCGAAGGGGGCTTAAGGGTTTACGGGATTTCAGTGATCTAAGGAACAAGGGTATGATCGAGAAGGGATATCGTCCAAATGAGTACACGTACACAGCAATGCAACGATGCGAGGACGCGTTTACAAGCGACCGAAAGTTGTCGTTGAATCGGTTAAATGAAGCTTCTCTTATATGGTCTCCAAAACATGCCTGACAAGTTGATAACTAGTTTAATTTTTGGGCATTGTTTGCAGTGGGTGAAATGCATTTCATGTTTTGGCAAGGCCGTCATCGGCATTGTTACATGAGCGATGACATGAATGCGCCGTTCCCTCTTCATCCTTTATGCACAGAAAACAGTTGCTAACAGGTTGATTGAGTTCTGTTATTCAAGTAAAGGGGAAACGATTGCGATGCTCTCTCTACCCGACATCCCAGTAGACGAGTTATTCACAGAGGCACAGCACAGTGGCCAGTTGGTTATATTCTTTGGGTGGAGGTGTTTGGGCGGGTTGGGGTTGAACAAGGTTTGGGGAGATGGTGGGGGAGAGGTATGGGAGGTTGCGCAGGACAAGAGGGTCAGAAACACCAGTTGAGATTTGATCAAACGGCTAAAACACAAATAAATAATGAGATAGGCAGATTTGCTAGACAATTATATAAGAGAAGAATGGTGCTTGTAAAAGTAGTGTGGTCATAAGATTTCTGTGCCGGAGATTAAATATTGCTAACAATTACTTAACAGGGGTGGACTTTGATATTTGATCAAGATTTCCCAGAAATTTCTAAAGAACTTCGTTAGGCACATGAAAATAAAATCATCAGACAATGGCACTTCGTTATTGAAGGCAATTAAACGATATAGGCACTACCAGATGCAAAAATTAGCATTTGGAAAACTGAGCAGGAAACCTAGGCCAATTAAAGCGAAGGTTGGAAGGATAGTAGAAGCTGGTTATACCATCTGCGGCAATAAAACCCAAGACCAGGGTTTGAACATTACAATAAGCAAATGCATTCCCAATTTCTTCTAGGGCAAAGATCAAATGAAAATCATACCCAATGGACCCTAACCTTAAATACTCCAACTAGGGGTGCAACTTGGGTTGCGCCAATCCGAACCCGCCCGTGTCCAACCCGACTTTAAACCCGAACAAGCAAATTTCTTTTAGTTATAGCTTGCCCGAACCCAACCCAATTTCAACCCGTTCATTGATTGGGTTGATCATTTGCCGTCCATCCCCAACCGAACCTAACCCGACTAACCAAACCCAATCTAACCAAATTGTAACCTAATCAATTAATGCTCATACTACACCCCAAGTGTGCCAAGTCCAAAAACCAATGCCCTTTCTAATAACTTTTTAATAAATTACCCTTTATAATTTACTTAAGCTTTTAGGGAATAAGAGGCTTTGATTAGTCAGCCCATATTCGTAGTCTCTAAATCCTTAAACTTTATAGTAGATTGATTTATGAAATTAGAGTTATCTAGCTTTGATGCTACTTGGTTTATTTTTTTTAGGAATTCTTGGAAACAAAGTTGTTAAAAGATTAAACTTAAAAAAGTTGGGCAACCCAAACTCAACCCAAGTAAACCCTAACCCAAATAAACCCGAATGAAACCCAATCCGAAACCGAGCCCGAATTGTAAAAGTTGGGTTAGGATTGGGTTGACCTTCCAACCCACCCAAGTTGCACCCCTAACTACAACCACCCTAAACATGTTTGGTTCATGTTTTCCCGATTCGAGAAATACGGCATCCTGTTCCAAGTTTGGTTCCATAAAATTACAACTTCAATTGTAATTTCATAACAACGAATAAGCTAATTAGGTTCACTAAACCTAAGCAATAAAAGGATGCCTAAAGTTAAAAGCTTGCCTAAGTTTATTTCTAAATATCAAAGCAAAACCTGCCTCAATCAACCACAGTAAGAGCAACATTCTCTAAGCAAAGAATCGAAAACCCAAAAAACCAAGCCCAGAAACATTCAATCATTCTTCAAAATATGATCAAATTATAACTAAGCATAAACATCCAGAACACTTTCAAAATCCATAGCAAATATTAAAACTAGGAATTAAAACAAAACACCGATTGAGATCAATTTCGATATGAAAGCGTTAGTAATAACATAAATTGAAAAAGGGGCAATACTCTCAACGGTAGGACTTCTGGAACCTGGCTCTGGCACCGCGACCACCGAACTTCTTGGGCTCGCAGCGCCGGGGATCAGCGACGAGGAGAGTCCTGTCGTACCTGACCAGGATGTCCTTGATCTCCTTCTTGCTCTGCTCGTCAACATACTTCTGGTAAAACGCCACAAGGGCCTTGGCGATGCTCTGACGGATGGCGTAGATCTGGGAGGTGTGGCCCCCGCCTTTGACTCGGATCCTCATGTCGACGCCGGCGAAGCGCTGTCGTCCGAGCAGCAGGATCGGCTCGTAGGCCTTGAATCGGAGGATCTCAGGCTCGACGAGCTCGATTGGGCAGCCGTTGATCTTGATCAGGCCGCGTCCACGCTTGCAGTAGGTCACTGCCACCGCCGTCTTCTTCCGACCGAAGCATTGCACGGACTCGATAGCTGGGGCCGCCATGGTGTTGCTCTCTAGGGTTTGGGGTCTTCTCCTGGGGGCTCTGTGTGTCTGCTCGCTATGAGCTTGGAGGCGCGAGACGGAAGTGTGAGAAATCTTAAATGAGAGAGAGATATAGGGTTTTTGGTCGATTGGACGGCTGAGATTGTTTTGTGAAGCAACAGTAAGATGGGTACCGAGGAAAATGTATTTTTTCTGGACTGAGCCATTACATTGTTTCCGTCCGGCCCATTGTTAGAGGCCCATACTTTATGTTGGGTTGTAAAATTATGCATAAATCACACTAATGCATGCAATTTTTAATTTGGATTTTGTGAAACATGGAATATTAATGTATCCTTTAAAATTGACCAGATGAGATTTGGGGTGAGTTCAAAAAACCGAAAACTGAAAAAAACCGAAAACCGAACAAAAAAAAACCAAACCGAAATTGTCAAACCAAATCGAACCTAATCTGGCCAGTTCGGTTTCGGTTTTTAAGGTTCGGAAACTGAACCGAACCGATATATATTTATTATTTTTTTCAATATTAGAAATAGTTTATTCATACAACCATAACAAAACATAACATGTTGCCAAGTTGGTTTCAGTGAAGCTTCTCAAGCTGCAGCGCATGGGTTCGAACCCTCATGCCACCAGGATTTTAGAGAATGTTTTTTTTTTTTTTGAGAAATCAACAAAACCCTTTAACCCTGGCCACTAGTAGTAGCAGCCACACCTTTTATTTGTTTCATTCCCCTCTTCTCTCTCTCGTTCCCGGCCTC